CTTCCCGCTAGTCGGTGTAGAACGTAAAATGACCTGAAAGGGAAGAAAGCGTTTTTTGCTCCTTTCTAACATATACTAAGTGACATATAAATCCGAACACCCAGTTTAAATGGTTTTATTTTAATAAAATTTTGTATAAGTACTTAATGAAGCATAATAAGTAAATGATAAAAATTTCAAAATGATTGCACAGCTTTAAAGCCCTTTGACCTTTAATAATGTGTGGATGCACCCTGATGTGCTACGTATTCTCCAACGCGCCTAGGCATGCTTCTGATCAGGTGGTCAATGTCCTCCTGTGGTATCTCATTCCAGGCAACCACCAACTCCTCTCGAAGTGCTTCTAGAGTCTGAGGAGGACGTTGCAAATTGAGCAATCTCCTACCCATCATATCCCACACGTGCTCAATTGGGGATAAGTCGGGAGATCTTGGTGGCCATGGTAACAATGTGACATCATTATGTTGAAAGAAGTCTATTGTGACTCTTGCAACATGTGGTCGGGCATTATCTTGTTGGAAAGTTGGATCTGCCAGGGTGTCAAGATAGGGTAAATGATGGGGTTCTAGAACTTCGTGGATATAACGCTGCGCGTTCATGTTACCTCTGATGAAGATTAAAGGTGACCTGGAACCATAAGCTATAGCACCCCAAACCATAACTCCAACAGTGTGATGAACATGTCTTTCAACAAAAAACTGTGGATTCCTCCTTTCACCACGTCGCCTTCTAACCCTGGCACGACCATCGTGCATGCCTAAACAAAATCGAGACTCGTCACTAAAGATAATACTGTTCCATTCCTGATCCCAGAGTGACCGTTGTCTGCACCACTCAAGGCGATTACGTCGGTGTTCTCGAGTTAAAGGGAGGACCCAGTGTGGCCGGTATGAAAACAAGCCAAAACTTCTCATTCGTCGGTAAACACATCGCATGCCAATAGGTCCTCCGTGTTCTGCAAACCATTCATTTGCAATGGACCTGGTAGTGGAGAAAAGGTCCCTTAAGGCCAATAATCTTAGGCGGCGATCTTCACGGTCTGTTGTTCTACGGCGGCGTCCAGTGCCCCTTGCTCTTTGCGTACAGCCTTCTCGAAGCCATGCCTGACAACACCTAACCACAGTGTCTACACTTCTTTGCACTCTGACTGCAATTGCCCGAAAAGAAAGTCCAGCTTCCCGAAGTCCCACTATACGGCCCCTATCAAAGTTGACGAAATCGTACAGGTCTCCGTACTCTAGGCATCGTAACCGATCGTAAAGGATGTCAAGAACCAAAATCCGCCAACGTTGATTCTTTACTGCGGCTGAAATATTCATTTTTCGAGCGTTAGTGATTTAAAAAAAAGCAGTATAAACACCGGAATGTCCAAATGATAAGGCTGAAAATTTTTTCACTTGTTATTTACAGTAAGATAAATACATTCACCAACTTTTATTAAAATAAAACCATTTAAACTGGGTGTTCGGATTTATACGTCACTTAGTATATTTATTGCTTAATCCCAAGCATTCTTATAACTTACAAATCCGCTTAGGAAAACAAAGCCACTTTACCTCCACCCATGGTCACATACAACCGCATGTTAATGAGTAGAACCACGTTCGTTTTCATTTAAATATGCTGCTTACTAATTCATCAAGATTAGTTTAGATTAACGTGCATTTGATGGAGTGGGAAATGTTAAATGTATCAAGTAGGTGTTGCCGAGCTAGCCGCTGGACGGATGTATAAACGTCATCATTCATGGCGGTAGTTTTTTATTCTCTAGATTAGAGTATTTATTGCCTTTTGTAACGTGTTTTACTCATTTGCAAAGAATAAACTAGAATAGAAAGAAATAGGCTGATTTAGTAGTTCCCACAACCGCTTTAACGCTTTGGATGGAAATGTTGCTAAAAAAAATAGTTTCAGGTAATAGGGAGATTTAAGTAATGTTATCCTAAAACAAAGAATCAAGTTTTAATGCTCCAATATTCTTCATCTTTATCTACAAAGGTGGTAAAGTAGCTTTAACGCCTACTGTGTATAAATATTAACTTATACTAAGTGACATATAAATCCCAGTTTAAATGGTTTTATTTTAATAAAAGTTGGTGAATGTATTTATCTTACTGTAAATAACAAGTGAAAAAATGTTCAGCCTTATCAGTTGGACATTCCGGTTTTTATACTGTTTTTTTTTTAATTCACTAACGCTCTAAAAATGAATATTTCAGCCGCAGTAAAGAATCAACGTTGGCGGATTTTGGTTCTTGACATCCTTTACGATCGCTTACAATGCCTAGAGTACGGAGACCTGTACGATTTCGTCAACTTAGTGAGTTTGATAGGGGCCGTATAGTGGGACTTCGGGAATCTGGACTTTCTTTTCGGGCAATTGCAGTTAGAGTGCAAAGAAGTGTAGACACTGTGGTTAGGTGTTGTCAGGCATGGCTTCGAGAAGGCCGTACGCAAAGAGCAAGGGGCACTGAACGCCGCCGTAGAACAACATACCGTGAAAATCGCCGCCTAAGATTATTGGCCTTAAGGGACCGTTTCTCCACTACCAGGTCCATTGTAAATGAATGGTTTGCAGAACACGGAAGACCTATTGGCATGCGAAGTGTTTACCGACGAATGAGAAGTTTTGGCTTGTTTTCATACCGGCTACACTGGGTCCTCCCTTTAACTCGAGAACACCGACGTAATCGCCTTGAGTGGTGCAGACAACGGTCACTCTGGGATCAGGAATGGAACAGTATTGTCTTTAGTGACGAGTTTCGATTTTGTTTAGGCATGAACGATGGTCGTGCCAGGGTTAGAAGGCGACGTGGTGAAAGGAGGAATCCACAGTTTTTTGTTGAAAGACATGTTCATCACACTGCTGGAGTTATGGCTTGGGGTGCTATAGCTTATGGTTCCAGGTCACCTTTAATCTTCATCAGAGGTAACATGAACGCGTAGCGTTATATCCACGAAGTTCTAGAACCCCACCTTTTACCCTATCTTGACACCCTGGCAGATCCAACTTTCCAACAAGATAATGCCCGACCACATGTTGCAAGAGTCACAATAGACTTCTTTCAACATAATGATGTCACATTGTTACCATGGCCACCAAGATCTCCCTACTTATCCCCAATTCAGCACGTGTGGGATATGATGGGTAGGAGATTGCTCAATTTGCAACGTCCTCCTCAGACTCTAGAAGCACTTCGAGAGGAGTTGGTGGTTGCCTGGAATGAGATACCACAGGAGGACATTGATCACCTGATCAGAAGCATGCCTAGGCGCGTTGGAGAATGCGTAGCACATCAGGGTGCATCCACACATTATTAAAGGTCAAAGGGCTTTAAAGCAGTGCAATCATTTTGAAATTTTTATCATTTACTTATTATGCTTCATTAAGTACTTATACAAAATTTTATTAAAATAAAACCACTTAAACTGGGTGTTCGGATTTATATGTCACTTAGTATATATTGACCCCAATTAGAGGACCACGGGAACAGTTCTTATTGATTCGTTGGTGTGCGACCAGTAGTATTTGTTTTGAATTTCATATAAATTTTTAATTTTAGCGGATCATATTTAAAGTGCAGCCTGCTATTTATTTTCCTTGGCCTGCAATGCATTATGCCTTGGGCTATAGCATACTCTTCATGATGCATAGATAGGCGCGAGTTTTCTGTGTAATGCTCGTGGTAACATACAGATATATTTAGCCCCTTGACTCGTTGTTTGACGTATCATTTGTGTGATGAAATTTTCTTTTTTGGGTTTCGTAAAATCATATGATAACTTACTAGTACTATCGAGTCAATAAAACACCATTATTAGCATAATTTTTAATAATCTTTAATTATTAAATTTTATAATCATATAAGATATACAGAGATCCCTGATCAGACATTATTTACAACAGATTTACACAATCGTGGTCTTAACTGCTACTATAATCATTTTTATACAAATATACATTAGTATCATAATATCTTACAAAAATTCTACCAGCGATTACAACTAATCATATGATTTGATTGAGTTTTGAAACAGATGAACTACAGATTGAAACTTTCCATGGAACCCTTGTGAGTAATTTCAATTTAAAATGACACGTACAGCAAGTCCAAACTACATATTCCAGATGTTCAATGTCGAAAACTTACAGATATACAGGCTGTCCAGAAATTGAAGGATAATCCTTCAGCTGCAAAGGAGTGATAGCTTGTCTGTCGAAATCCTTTATTTTGAAGTTTGATTTTTTAAATCAGACGTTTCGTTTTCGAGGCAATTAGAAAAACATTAGTTTATCATAACTTGTTCAGATAGAAAACAAAAACACACGAAAATATCACTTCTTATTTCAAATCTACAATTCGTTTATAATTTAAAACGGAAAATACCAACATAAACAGCAATTCGGAAGATTAGACCTGGCAACAACCAAATAACAACCCGAATTTTTTCCGCATTCTCTTCATCAACACAGATATCATTGGAGTAGGGGACACCGGGGCGGGGTAGGGTACCGGGGCAGAACGGTTTGCATACCATATTTCTCACTGTGAAGGCTAGATGTTACTAGCGCTCTCTGTGATCGTTTAGTAGAACGCCACGCATCGGTCGGCAACAATGAACAGATTACAGCAAACAGTTCAAAGTGTTTTCGGCCAAACGTAATGAATTTGTGCATGTGGATATAACTTTTCAGGATTTTTAATACAATGTAAGTTATTTAATTATTTGTTTTGGCGTTTTTTGTTCATTTAACTGTAAACGGCATGTGTACAAGTATCTTTTGGCATATTCACGACAAAATATTAATAAAGCGTTTCTATGCAAAGGTTATGTTTTGTTATGAGTAGCTTGTGGGGCAGAACGGTGTGGGGCAGAACAGGTTGGGACCCCATTCTGCCCCTTATTATCAACGATCTCATTTTGATGCCTTGTGTTGCTTTCAGATGGTTCGCAATTATATTAGAAAGACCGATCGGCAACGGTGGCGTTCTGAAACTATGGAACGAGCTGTAGCTGCGGTAGTAAGTGGCGCAATGGGTTGCAAGAAAGCTTCAATTCAATTCCAGCTTCCACAAACTACATTGGAAAGATACGTGAAAAAGCGTAGGACTGACCCAAATTCTGTGATTGATAAAACCGCTGGCAAATATCACTGTGTTTTTACTCAAGACCAAGAGGTAGAACTAGTTGTATATTTAAAGGATATGCAAAAGAGATTGTTTGGTTTAACATTAAAAGAACTCAGAAAGCTAGCCTATCAATTAGCGGTTAGGAATGGTTGTGAGCAGTTTGAGGAAGCCTGAGGCCACTTCTGGAGCACGTGCCATGGGATTTAACCAAGTAGCAGTCGCGCAGTTCTTTACATTATTAAATAAAGTTATTATTGAGAAAAAAATTACCTGTGAAAGAATTTATAATTGCGATGAGACTGGCATTACAGTGATTCCAAAGCAGCATTCAAGGGTTATTGCAAAACGTCAGGTAGGCGTATTGACTTCTGCTGAGCGGGGCAATACAGTAACGGCATAAATTTGTTGCTCTGCTGCGGGAAATTTCATGCCCCCCCCCCCTGTTGATTTTCCCGCGACAAACAAAGAGACAAGAATTTGAATTGGGCTTGCCACCTGGAGCTTGGACTGCGGCAAATGACTCTGGATGGATGACTATGGAAGTGTTTTTCGAATGGTTCAAGAAGTTTATTAAATTTTCTGGTGCAAAAAAAGAAACTCCCGTGATCTTACTATTTGATGGACATGCATCTCATACGAAAAACATCGATGTAATAGATCTGGATCGAGATAATGGCGTTATTTTATTATGTTTCCCACCGCACTGTTCGCACAGGCTCCAGCCTCAAGATGTGGCATTTATGAGACCTTTAAGTCTATAATACTAAGATGAAGTGCGAAGATGGTTGCGGTCAAATCCAGGTAAGGTTGTTACTTTATTTCAAATTTCAACCTTGTTTGGACAAGCTTTTCTTAACGCCGCTAATATGAAAACCGCGCTAAAAGGTTTTGAAAAAACTGGTATTTGGCCAACAAACGAGGGAATTTTCACTGACGATGACTTTTTACCAGCCGAGACAACTTATATTCCCATTGCTGAGACAGAAATTGCCCCTGCTCAAGTAACTCAAGTCGATGATTTTCCAGAAAATAATTCCTTCAATGATCCCTCAACCCCACCTCCCAGAGAACTAAAGGAAACTAGCAACGAAACTCAAAATGGCTCTTTACCCTGGATGTCTGACACTACTATTGCACCAATAAAAAAAGTGATCACCTCTAGTTATCCAGCCGTTTCTCCGGAAGCTTTTATGCCAGTACCAAAACTAACGACAACCGTTAAGCGAGTGCAGAGAAAGAGAGGCAAAACCACTATTATTACAGAGCAGAGTTGACTGAGGCATTAGAAAAATCAAAGAAAAACAAAGTGAAAAAAAATTTTTCAGGTCAGAAGCAGAAGAGGGAAACAGAAAAGATGTCTCGACCAAAAAAGCAAAAGATAATAGAAGCTAGAGTAAGCTCCGAGGAGGAAGAAGGAGAAGACACATTATGTTTATTCTGTAACGACCAATATTCAACATCAACTGAAGGTTGGATTTCTTGCATTCAGTGTAAAAAGTGGGCTCATTACTCTTGTGCGGGAATAGATAGTGACGATGACGAGTCAGAACTGATTTGTAACATTTGTAAACCCGAGTACTCCATCGTGCCCCGCCGACGGGGCAGAATGGAGTAAAAGACACTTTTTGTTTAAGTTGATGACATAAAAAAACTGGTAGCCTTATTTTCATATTTGTTTGTGTTTTCATGTTAATGATACCTCAATAGATCATTATGTACCTTTTTAAATTTCTGTAACATCATTTACCCACCCAAACTTGAAATTGAATGTTACGGTCCCCATTCCGCTCCGGTCTCCCTTACTGTATTCATTGTTATACCTGTTTAGTTATTCGTTGCTAAAAGTAACAAATAAGAGAAAAGCTGAGATGTGTAAGTTTTTTCGACACAAAATTCAGCACTCGAAATTTCAAAATGGCGGACTGAGGGGTTGCCGAAGTGGGGGGTTTTTCTAGACAAAACCCTATATCTCAGTAGCTAATTACCAAAACCCCATAGTATGTTATATCAATCTTTTTCTTTAGGATTGGTTTATCCAAAAATGCAATAAAATTTAAGGCATTCTATTTGATAAAATCACAGCTTTGTTATGTAGCTCGAAATTGGAACACCCTGTATAATGACCAATATTTTAGAAATTTGCCCTCAAATGTCATGTATATTATCTCATAAATACATTGTCCCAAAATGTATTTGTTTATGAGTAATATTCCGTCCACACATGGATGGGCCACCCTGTATATTTCCAGCAAGACGGCGCTCCTCCTCACTATGTTCTTTCGGTTCGGAAATGGCTAGACGACGAGTTTCCAGATAAATGGATAGGGCGAAGAGGGCCTATAGAATGGCCTGATAGATCTCCTGATTTGACGTCATTAGACTTTCTTCTATGAGGCCATTTAATACATTGTGTTTACTCCGCAATCTGAAAGTTTGGATGAACTTTGTCCACGCATCATTGTAATCTGCCATGATATCCCACAACATGTTTTTGAAAATGTCCGTCAAGAATTTGAACATCGCCAATATCATTGTTTGGCCAATAACGAGCAACGTTTTGAACACTTATTGAAATGAAAAGTGATATTTTCGTGTGTTTTTGTTTTCTATCTGAACAAACTAAGATAAATAAAGACTTTTCTAATTTTCTTGCAAACGGATCGACCGATTTAAAAAAATCAAACGCAAAATAAAGGACCTTTCAAACAAGCTGTTACTCCCCCTGGGGGCAGAGGGTGAAGTAGTTTTGAAGAGCTTTCAAATGAATGTGAATATTCAGAGATGAAAGATTGATTCTTCCACCCAATTCTCTTCTCGTACCATCGCAAGATTGTTTTTCTTCAGGAATAACTGAGATGCATTTCAGCGATTCTCTTTTAGTGATGGGTGTCGTATGTTTCAGGATTTGTGCGAATGACTTTTACTAACTGGTTTTTCTCAACCTCGTCGACTTTGTCAATTCTGTTTAAGTTTAAGATCAGGTGGATTTGCTTCGTCTGTGATACTGTTTTCTACATTCTCACGCTTTTTTGCTCGCCTTTTTTTTGATAGTGTTAACAGAAAAATTATAATGTTGACGTAAGCTTAGATTTACTTGTTGGTGGTGCGTACTTTTCCACATTCCTCATAATTTTAATAAAGCGGTATGCTTTTTTATTTTTTGCAGCTATAACTTTTGCATTATTAAATTTCGCACAAATTTTTATTGTTATATCAATCTCTGCAACAAAAACAACATTATTTCTAAAAACCAAGAAGGTGTACCAAACATCATAAAAACTATGATATCCCTGGTCGCGTATCAATGTCAAATGTCATTCTTTTCACATAGGTCTGCTCTTTCCTTGATCAAAAAGATCGCGGAATGGTGGCCGTGTGGCGCTCGTAGCAATTCTGTTTATCTTGTTATGGTGCCCAACTTTCACTGATATTCCCTCCAAATTTTGGCGTCATTTCATTATCAGTTGTCAAATCTACGTCAAGTTGAGTACATGTACGATTTATTAGGATTTTACCAATGGATCTGAATGAACAACAACACGTTTGCATTAAATTTTGTGTTAAAAACAATATCAACGGTAAGCGAATCTTGGAAATGGTAGGGAAATGCTTCGGCAACGATGCTTTGAAGAAAACAGCCGTTTTCGACGGGTCACAGAAGGTCGTCAATCCATCGCCGATGCTGAGCGCAGCGGCAAGTCATCGACATCGAAAACATAATAAAACGTTGACAAAGTGAAGAAAATGTTAGCCACCAACCGCAAATTAACTATCAGAGAGATGGCAGAGGACTTGAGCATCGCTTATGGACCCATTCGAAGCACTTTGGTCAACGATTGGTGTCTGCGTCGTGTTGTTGCCAAGTTGGTGCCAACAAACTTGAATTTCATGTAAAAAAGACCGACAAAGACATGATTTCCATGGCTGATTCTGGCCCAACATTAATCAAACGCATCATTACCGGCGCGAGCCGGATGAGCCGAGACCGAGGAAACCACGACGCTTCTTGTCGAAAAAGAAGGTAATGCTCACGGTTTTCATGGACTACTACTGCCTGGTGCATCGTGAATTCTTACCAGAAGGTCAACAAGGAGTACTATTCGGGTATTTTGAGACGATTCCGTGAATCAATCGGTCAAAAACGTTTGTGCGCAAAAGACTCGTGGATCTTGCACAACGAAAACTCACCATCGCACAATGCCATAATTATCCGTGAGTTTTTGGGCAAAAACAGCACGAATGCCAATCATCAACCCCACCCAATTCACCTGATTTGGCCCCATGTGACGTCTTGTTCAATAGAATCAAAAAGCCACTGAGAGAAGCCCGTTTTTGCAGCGGAGAGGGGATAATAGAAAAATCGAAGATGGCCCTAATAGAGATACTTGACGTTGAGTTTAAAAAATGTTTCGCAGACTGGGACAGTATCGATTTTGAACAATAAACTTGTATTGTTTATTTTTTTAATAAATTCCGGGAACTTTTTGATCAAGGTGGTGTATGGTTAATTTATATCCTTTCATCTGTTTTAGCGTTTATAGTCACTGGAATTGCACAATAATCAAACAAGAAATCGTACGTGAATCTTAAAATTATAGTCACAGTCAATATTAGCTGGAAGAGTAGACTTTACTTCTTAATGTGTATTTAAGCAATGTGTACTCTTCACATAGGTATATCCTATAAATACAAGCGTGAGGCATAGCGCTTGAAAGAATAAGCGAAGTTGATGAAAAAATGCATTTTGATAATGTTCTTTGTATATTAGGTACCTAATATAATATTTCATAGAATAGATCATATTCATGAAGCATGATATTAATAGCTTTACGACCGTAGTTTCATCATGACATTTATTTTTTGAAGCATTAGTAAGAATCTTGGGATTAGGAACTTTTTGAAGAAAAATATTTAAAATTCTCTGTATAAGATCTGTAAAATCTTTACGGAAACTCAATATAATTCACAAATATAAAAAATCGAAAAATAGTCATCTGCATTAACACATCGTCATTCATATTTCAATTTGTCCACAATGCATTTTTTTTAAAATATAATTAAAAAAATGTTGCTTCTAAAACCGTCGTCTTCCATAGGCCGAAATTTGATGCCCATATGTTATATGTTATGAAAAACCGATAGATATTTCATATGAGTACTACTAGTGCACGTTAAGTCTGAAAATTATTCCTTTATCTTGCCAAGATGATAAAATCAAGTGTGCATGAAAAAATTCAATATAACTTTATGTAGAATAATTAAGTCACAAGACTTGGTGAGGGTTGAGTCATTTGTAATACATCCTAGCTGCGTATAATCCTCAAACCATAAGAAAAATGCATATGGTGTAAACAAACAGTAACAAGTTGGTTTTCGAAATGAGGTCATTTCACGTAGGTACGTAGGCCAGAAAACAGGTAAATTTTGTCTACAATCTTTTCGACAGTATTTTTTTTTGGTGGTATCGTGAGATTATTGTTTTCTAATGACAAGTTCAAATTGACGTATTGACAGGTCTGGAACATTTTCCGTCATTTTGAAAAACGCGTTTAATCAAGAATCTCGAAGACTATCAATCTTATGTAGAAAAGTAATAGGTACAATTTTGTAGAGGATTGGATTCTTGATCACCTCGCCTCCATAAAAATTTGTCGCGTAGTCAACGGGTTCATGTAAAATTTTTGCTCATAATGGCTAAACTAGCAATTTAAGTGGAAGTCAAAAGTTCGTATGGAAACAGTCGCAAGACATTCTCATATATACACTCTACGTACGTTGTCCTCCGGTCAGCATACATATCTTCACGTGGGGATAACTCCATAAGTCATAATCTATGATCAAGAATACAATTTTAGAGCGAGTCCATTTTTTACTTTGAAACTAAGTATAGAAAACGTAATTACTAATTTGAGATATTCTATGATCATTACAATGCAAGTCAGTGACTTTCATCAGTCTGTCTGTTGACCGTTTTGGCACTGTGTAGCCTCAGCAACCGTTGCGACGGTTTTAACGGAAAGGTGGTGGCAGCCATAAGCCAGCTTCCGTAGCAGGTATGGTTACTGAAATTACCCTGTGACAAAATCCCCAATAGACTGACTGATGCGTAAGAGTGACTTGATCTTTATAATGACCATGAGGGATTATCAAAAAATATCCCATTTTCCTTACTTGCACGTGGTAGGAAGAAAATGATTCTCTTTATAATGGTATTATTGCTCATAGATAATGATTATGGAGTTATCTGCACATAAAATAATGATGTATGCGGAATACGTCGGCAACGTGCGTAGCGTGCGGAATACGTCGCGCATCTGATACTGGTTTTCAAATCTCCCTTCTTATACTTCAAGAACCCCCAACGTATCAAAAAAAATGTAAGTTTTTGTGGCAAATTTTATCCCCTACAAACAATAGTGTTCTATACTCTTAGATTCTTAGTTCAGCCCTTATAAGTAGCCCTTAGTTTCTCGTAATCTGTTGACTGTACGACACATTTTTATAAAAGCAAAAAGAAGAAGAAATTAATTCCCCACAAAATTCTCCCTATTATTTTTTTACATACGGGCGATGATTTTTGAGATTTTCGATCAAACGCGTTTATCGAAATTGTGGCAAATGCTCCAACCCTAGCATGTCGCCAATTTGAACTTATCATTAGGAAGCAATAGCCTAACGATACTACCGAATAAAAATAGTGTGGGAAAAATTGTAGGACTTCCTTAAACAAAACTCCCTAATTCCTGGCCTACAGGTCATATGATCAATGTAACTTGATGTTATGAAAAATGACCAGTATCTATAAACCTCCATTTCTCGTTAGAATTTTATATTGAACTCGTCATTATGTTCCGTCGACATTCAACTTCGCCCATCCGTTTCAATCCCACCCACTATATCCTAGTCAGGCCCCTACACTAATACGCCGTCGCCGCCCCCGTGTGATGGTGGTGGTGGATATTGCCGAAATGGCCCAATCCGGCGAGCGGATCTGGCGCACTGGGCGCCGGTTGGTGGCAAACGTACCAATCGCTGATGGAGGCGGCGCCAGGGGGCGGTACCGGCGGCGGGATGCTGCTGCCTGTTGGTACGTGCGGGGAAGCTGCCACTGAGATGCTGCCTGCCGAGGAGGAATTCGAATCTTCGCCGTCGCTGTCGTAGGGCGGGGGAGATCGACCACCTCCGCTGCATCCGTGAACCTGGAAACAAAAAGAATGTTGTAGGTTTATAGGTAACAAGGTTAAGTGGAAGAACATATCTGTAGCCCAGAGCCAGACTAGGTTAAGTCCATTTTTGTGAAAAATCAGTTTAGTATGTTAAGCTTATGATAATATTGTGAATTTTCATTTGGTACATGCAGCGTCCATCAATCTGTGATAATAAGCAAGTTACAGCTTTTTTACTCACATCAAGTCGTATATAAAACAATACAAGAAAAATATTTCAAATACTACTATCTCAAAACTACTTATTTGGACTTCAGCTAGTCTGAGTCTGAGGTACAGATATGTGTATTACATCAGTGGCTCACATCTAGTCTGGGTCTGAGGTACAGATATGTGTATTACATCAGTGGCTCACATCTTCCGCCCTTCGCCATCTTTTTTATATAAATGTAAGATTATTTGTTGATGTTTGGCGAATAAAGACGTTTATTATTATTATTATTATTATTATTATTATTATTATTATCATTATATTGCTTGTACTAACAGTATCGAGATTTCTTACTTCCTATGCTAAAATTGTTAAGGAAGTATTTTAATCGCAAAAAATTTCGAAATTGAGATGTTGTACGACATAACCATCACGAAAGCTGAATGCCGTAAATGGTAGTAAATTGTTGCATATCTGGTGTTACAGACCCGCTATTATCAAGAAGCTGCGGATCTCATCTCAGAGATTAGACATAAGTCACACAGATTTTTCCTACATCTGACATGGAAACAGAAGCATGACAAATTTGCTTACTATTCGTCCTTTGTTTGTCTGGGCGGTCCGTAGGACCTTTGCCGATTAGTCACTGTCTAATGTACCTTAGTCGAATCTGTCAGTACTGGTTGCCCAGAAACCAGACAATGTCAAGGAAAAAGAGAAAGGGAAAGAGAAGAAAAATGGAGAAGAGCAAAGAAAAATGGAGAAGAGCAAAGAAAAACAGAAGTGTAAGAGGAAACACCTAAGCTTCTTGACTTGGTACACGGATTAATTTTGAGGTGAGCTAAACAAATTTTGATTCGGTTTTGTTAGAGTGTAGTTTTAAGTTTACTAAAAGTTCGCGCCAATTTTTTATTACAGTGCGTGGCCTTGAATGTTTACGAACTAGCTGAGTCGCGCAACAGAGGGTTGCTGTGCGATTCCGCTTGACTATAACGTCGCTGCGCCTGAAGCTTGACATAATCCGTCAAGTAAGGAATGTCAAGGTCTTTGTGCAGTGTCTCGTTTGAGACATACCACGAAGCGTTGCAAATTGTTCGCAAACTTTTACTTTGCAGTACTTGAAGACTTTGCATGTGGGTCTTGGCAAGAAAACACCAAGCCGCATAAGTAATGGCTGGTCTACTAATCATTTTATATAGGCGAACTTTGTTTATCAAACTCAATTTGGAGGATCTACATAACAACGGATACAGCTGCCGAAACGCAATTTGTACTTTTGTTTTCAAGGCTGCTGTATGTTTATCAAGGGTGACACCGAGGTACTTGGCAGAATTTTTCAATGGTACTCGATTGCCGTCTAAAGAGACCTCTGCTGAAGGGCCGCGACGTTGGTACAATAGATAGCCTGCGTTTTCGAATGATTAATTTTAATCAGCCACCGTTACGCCCATTCTAGTACTTCTTCCACCGCACTCTGCAACCCATCGTGAACCAGATCACCAGTACACGACTAGGGGACAAGTGCAGCATAGAGGTAGACTTCACAGTTGCTGGGGCAAGGGACATCATGGATAAAAAGCGAATAAAGGATTGATCCTAGGACCGAACCCTGAGGAACACCGGCCCGTACTGGCCGTGTTTTTGACCAAACATTGTTGGTTTTGATCCGAAACTTCCTTCCTTCGAGAAAGGATTTCAGTAATTTTAGAAGCCAAAAAGGATAACTCTTGGATTAGTCTATAACTGCCACACCTTGTCAAAGGCTTTTGAGACATCCAAAAGCAAGCCAGTACTCATGCTGAGGGTGAACCCTCTGGTTACATGTTCCACCAGCCTGACTGCCTGTAGCTCGGTGCTATACTTGGACCGAAAACAGAATTGAACGTCAGGAATCTCATGGTGATTTGACGAAGAATTCTCAAGATGACGATAAATCACCTTTTCGGCGAGCCTAGAAGGAGCTGACAGCAGACTTATGGGATGGTAATCCTGAGGAAATATCGAGCCCACCTTCTTTGGAATCATGATGACCTCAGCAGTCTTCCACCCAGCAGGGAAGTACTGGATTCTATGCGTCGCATTGATTATTGTCACAAAATATGTCAGGGCTTTCGGCGAGAGCAGCTTCAACGCCTTGTTGGTGATTTGATCTCCCCATGTGCTTTACGCACCTTGAGGTCTTTAATATGACTTAGGAGCTCCGCTGGGTGCAATGTGGAAACTCGGAGGGTTCCGCTAATGTGCTATGTGGAGCCTCTGGCGAATATTCTGAAGAAGAGTCATCTGAAGAGGATTCAGTGCCTCCGCTAACGCCGTTGGCCCTAAAATAGCTCCTGACGGATCGTACGATGTGCTGTTCCTCGTCAAGGTCAGCATTATCAAGATAATAGTTGGGAGAGAACTGTTTTTCCATGGCATCAGCGAAAACCTCGACCTTATCCTCCGTTCTGAAGACTATGCCTTCAGAACCGTGGATGTGCGGGAGTTGTTCTCGCTTTCCGTTTCTGAGTGACTTTGCGACCCTCCAGAGAGGAACACTTGAATCAAGCATTCCCGCCAGAGAATTCGTGCAGTGCGTTTCTCACTTCATGGACGAGATTTGTAGCCCTACGAATGTCATCAGGACGAGAAACATTTGCTTTATACAGATTGATATGCAGAGGTATCCTAGCCAATCACGATTCGATTTCGCCTTTTGAAACGATTTGTGTCATCCCTTCTCTTTGAAACCGCCAACGAAGGCGTAGGAAGTATAGAGTCAATCTATTTGATGCTGAATTAAGCAATTGAAAGGGTAATGACATTGAAATTCAAGAGTAAGCAGAGTAAGTGTAATGCCAGGTATAATATCATTGATTCTCTACCATTTAACAGCCGGTTTTCTGCAGCAATTGGTTTTGGCTGCAATATTTAGCTCGGCTGTTCAACTTGCATTCCCTATCACCCATAATGTCATCTGGTCGGTCTATTTAAAATACCCGAATTTTCAATACATTTTGGTACTATGAATCTATAATCCATCCATCGCGGATGACGGTGCTTTGTATGCAAGCGTCCAGACTGATCTTTGCGGTTGTGCTGGGCAGAAAGGAACTGATAAGGACTTCCTCTTTGAGGTTATCTCCTCTCAGTGCAGACTCGGTACGTTACTGACTACTGAGAGGCACAAAAATGCATACTTGATTCGATCAAAGACCAAGCATTTTCAGGACCCCACCCATTTCACCTAGTCGGAGTTCAGATTACTGAAAACTTAATTTATCACTGTCACGTTTGTCAATCGTAGCAGATCCTGAGAGGAAACTCGATTTTTTGTTTGGAACGAGTACCGCTTCTTACCACCCAGCATCCATCTGAGTTATAAGCTGACCTGTAATACTATCCACATTCGATGCATTTCAAAGGAGCATTCCCTCCATAAAGTTGCCTCCTCTTTGTACACTGACATATCCGCCAGACCTCTGCTGCTATTTTTCTTAAGTCCATCGATATTTACATATATATAGCTGACTTGTATTGTCGTTTCTTCATGTATAGGGTGTGGATGTCGTAAAAATGAAAAAAATTCTGTCAGCTCATGATCAGTAATAGCAGTATTTGGGCGAATTTATAAGATCCAGCTAAAACTGCATGGTGTTTGCTTCTTCAAATATTATCTAAATCTTACCTTCATATGTTTCCTGAGTGATGAGGGATGAGTGTATGACTTATCACAGCCCGCTACTCTACAGTTGTAAGGCTTATCGCTGGTGTGCACGTGCGAATGCTTTTTCCTATCTGAGCTATTCGCAAATCTCCTATCGCACCCTTCGTACTCGCACTTGAAGGGCTTCTCACCTGGAACAACAGAGAAGATATCTTCAATAAAAAATTACAATTCACAGTGCTGTTATTCTATTTCCCATTGCACACATTCATTGCACATACATCTCAAAAAGTAGAATTCCATTTTTGGAAGGTAGCGAACATAATATGAACCGATTTGCTGAACCAAAACCAACAATAATAATAATAATAATAATAATAAAAATAATAATAATAGCTTTATTGTCCAACAGTTTCCCATTTATAGGACAATTTATAAACATAATACAAAAGCAAAAAAAGCGAAAAAAAGCGAAAAGAAAACAACAAATGCAACACAGGTATAAATTTGTAACATGAGCTATTGGTCCGAATAAGCCTTAGGTGCCTTTAGCAGGTAATTAACATTTGTCGTAAATATATCACAGTAACATCCAATTCTGTTTAAGTTAGACCACATTACATATAACGGTGACTTGAGAAGAATGTTTGTCCTAGCTCTAGGAAGCCCGAATATTTTATGATTGCGAGATGCAAACGTTGGACTACGAAACTTGATGTGTTTCAGGATCATGGGGCAATCAACTAAATTGTAGCTAAATGTTATTGAGGCACAATACCTACGTTTTTTCAAAGTCAACATGTCTAAGCGACTACATAGTTCCTCATTACTTGTACCTCTCTCTGGATATGTCCCATCAATCCTAAACAGAACAAACTTCATAAACTTTCGTTGTACTCTTTCAATAGCTGTGCTATAGCATTCATAGTAAGGGCTCCAAATAATACTACAATATTCGACTTTGGATCTAACATAAGCATAATATAATAGCTTAATAGACTTTATGTTATGAAAATTCCTGCAATTCCTTACTATGAAACCATAAGCCGCCAATGCTTCTGATGCTTTTTTATTTATATGCTGACTAAAAGTTAACTTTTGATCATAGATTATACCTAAATCACGTACATCGGAGCATCTTTCTAGCACAGACCCATCAATAGAGTGCGGATATTCGCAAACATTAATTTTCCTGGTATAGCTGACTATTTTACACTTCCTCACATTAAGCTCCAACTTGTTTTCTACACACCAAGACAGCACAAAATTTAATTGGTGTTGTAGCTTGATATAATCATCAGGAGTATTTATCTGCGAATAAATTTTTAGGTCGTCAGCAAAGCATAGGCGTTCACATTCAACCGAGTCACAGAGGTCATTAATAAATATCAAAAACAGTAATGGTCCCATGTTGGACCCCTGAGGAACTCCACAAGGTGCCAGGTAGGTCTCAGATTGGAAGCCATTATAGCTAACAAATTGTCTACGATCGGATAAGTAAGATTTCATCAACTCCCTAGCATCATCTGTGAAACCAAGTGCACCTAACTTATAATAAAGTTTTGTGGTTAATTTTATCGATAGCCTTCGAAAAGTCGGTATAAATAACGTCAACTTGCTCATTACTATCAATGGCTTCCGAGAGGTACTGCGTTATTATAAATAGATTTGTGGTTGTTGAGCGATTAGCGACAAATCCGTGTTGATGCAATGACAGCTGACGCTGGACGGCAGTATAAATGCGACTGTACAAGACTATTTCAAAGACTTTCGAGAACATGCATAATATAGAGATTGCCCTGTAATTCTCAATATTCGACTTATCCCCACACTTAAACCCTGGACATACCTTAGCGATCTTCCAAATATCGGGAAATCTTTTTGTTATAAGACAAATATTAAAAATCCTAGTTAGAACACCAACAAACACTTCCACACAATCTTTGACTATAAAGGACGGGATGCCATCTAGACCAGATGTCATCTTATCCTTTAATGATTTAATGACCTTCCTGACTTCATTTTCCTCAATTGGATGAAAATGCACAAATAAATTACTATGATTTAGTGAGGCATTATTATGGCGCTTGTGAGTGACATAGACGCTGCTGAAAAACTCGCTGAATGCGTTTACTATATCCTGAGGCTATACAGGGTTATCCAAATTAAGTGTCCACCATTAGTGACTTTGTTATTAGTGAAAATACAAAGTTGTTTGAATTAGCAAACTAGTAGCATTTTTAACGCTGGTAAAAATGAGAAATAAAAAAAACAATTGAGAGTCGTTATTTTGATTTTTTTCAGTAAAATAACATTTTTTTAAATGGAAACCCCTGTATATTATATTTTTTTCTGTTAAAGCATCAAATTTTAAACAAAAAAGTTCATAATGACTTTTCCGCTAAAGTCAAAAATAAAGTCAAAATAACGATAAATATTTTTAATTATTTGCAGTATTACAATATTAAGACGGCTATGAAAACAACATGGCGTTCGCGATTTGACAGCATTAAGATAAGCGACAAATTGTTAAACTGGACATACTCGCAACTAGAAGGCTTTGGAAAACAATGATAAAATCAAATAATGTCAAACATTAGTGTAAATACTTGTTTATAAGCTTTATTGTGTCATTAATTTAAAGAAAAATGTTCTCCCATGAAGAAAAGTGTGATATGTTAGAATGCTATTTAGTGTGCAGAAAATCCTCCTTGAGAGCACCTACAGTGAATTATATCCCGCTCGCATTCAACCGAATGAACGTATCGAAAATTTAGGGGCAACGAAAATGTTTTTGCTAAAAGGGCAAAAAAAGAATTCATAATAAGCGAGGCCACGGAAATTGCAGTTATTGGATATTTTGAAGCTTATCGTGAGAATTCAATAGCAGATATTCTCAAGGACTCTAGTTTCAGTTATGGTACTGTTCAAAGGATTTTAAAAAAATACAAATTTATTCCGTATAAGTACCGACCAGTTCAAACGCTTTTGGCAGGGGATCCAGAGAGAAGACTTGTTTTTTGCCATTGGTATCTTAGCTTCTGTCGCCAAAATGTAAATAACTTTCGTTACCTTTTATGGACAGATGAATCAAATTTTTCAAATTCTGGAATGTTTAATAGAAAAAACCACCATTATTGGTCAAGAGAAAATCTTTTGTTAGTACATCCAAGAGGCCCACAAGTCCGTTTCAGTTTCAACGTTTGGTGCGGTATAATTGGTTCAAAAATTGTTGGCCCGTTCTTTTATGAGGGAACCCTAACTGGTGAAAGATATGTGGAATTTATGTCAGAAATTCTGACTAATTTCTTAGACGAATTGGATCTTATAAGTAGACATCATCTGCATTTTCAGCAAGATGGCGCACCTGCCCACAACTCCAGAGGTACTTATCATTTTCTAAGTACTACTTTTAATGATCAGTGGATAGGAACAAATGGCCCAATACAGTGGCCTCCCAGATCACCAGATCTAAACCCACTTGATTACTTCTTGTGGGGTTACTTAAAGAACCAAATTTACAAGCGAAGGTACGATAACCTTGACGCGTTAAAGACTGCAGTTAGGGAAAAGATAACCCAGATAGATGGTAGGACCATACTTAAGACAGTTCGAGCAGTTGAAAAACGTGCCCAAAAATGTATTGAAGAACAAGGTGGTGTTTTCGAGCATCTTCTTTAAAAAAAATTGTTATTGTATTTTGTAAGATTATAAGTTGATGTTGAAAATAAAGTTTGTCGATACAATTTAATTGTTTCAGATTGGAGGCCATAACTTCAACAATTTGTAACCTAGGAGAAAAGTTATTGTAAGCTTTTTTGTTTAAAATTTGATGCTTTAACAGAAAAAAATATAATATACAGGGGTTTCCATTTAAAAAAATGTTATTTTACTGAAAAAATCAAAATAACGACTCTCAATTGTTTTTTTTATTTCTCATTTTTACCAGCGTTAAAAATGCTACTAGTTTGCTAATTCAAACAACTTTGTATTTTCACTAATAACAAAGTTACTAATGGTGGACACTTAATTTGGATAACCCTGTAGAATTATTTTGAAATTTCATTATCCCTGGGATTCGTGATGTGTTATTTTTGGAGTGAACGTATGACCAAAAAGCATTGGGGTTAATTGTTAAAGAATTCTGGATATTTTCAATATATCGATCATACGCTGATTTAATCTGGTTTTTTATCAAGCGGCGCAAACGTTTGAATTCCTGTAGATCATCAACAAAAGCAGACCTGTTGATTTTTTTCCTCAATTTAGCTTTAAGTTTAATGCTCAAAAAGATACTACACGAAAATGAAATGAAGTGGTTAAAAGCCATTGAAGTTCTCTGTAGAAAATTTCAATGACGACACCTTCTTAAACGAAACTTGGAGTTAGCTTATATTTCTGGCCGAGGTCCCTTGCCTACCCATACGCTTCAAAGGCACAAACAATCCTTTGGAATGACATGTCTAGGTAAGGACTTACATAACAATAGAGAATTCTGGGTCTGACGTCACGCCCACCCGGTCTAAAAACAAATGTAAAACACGCTCTGTCGACGTTTCGTTTCTATTGTGCAACTATTTGACGGACACCTACCCTGATGCCTAACTGCAGGGGCGTACGGTGGTTCCCGTTAAGAGCAACAGTTATTCTGCCTAATAAGGAACATGCGATGCCTGTTTTCGTTTTCATTTAAAAGAGTGCCACTTAGATAAAATACGGTGTATGATGAAATTGAAACGACAAAAAATCTTAAGCTACGGTGACGTCACCCTTATCTATCATCACCACGCACTATTGTCATCGAACAGTTATATTTCTTTTTGTCACAGTCTCTGGTTCGCTTTTTTTCTGATACCAAAAATACAGTTTCTTATATACTTGAGTGAAAGAGTGTATGCGTCATCAGCAACAATCCTGTCCTTTCTTTGTTTAAAACAATAATAATAAAACACCACTTTTTGAAATCTACGATAATTGGCCCTCGTCCATTATAACTGCAACAAAAACAACAGCGGAGTGCGAATAACAATAATCCATTTAAAAATTGCCAATAGCCAAAGATCTTTTCCGACTAGTTGGCGCAGTGATCATACATTATTTACACTACATGGTGTCAAAGTGAGACGTGAGAACAGGTTTTCATTAAAATTTAGACTTTGGTATGATTTTTATATCGCCTTTATCGCGCTATC